CTGGGTTCCCGGGGAATTGTTATAATTTTTATATGTATAATATATATATATCTCGCCTTCCCAACAAAAATAATGGACTGAAATTAGCTCAACTAGTCATGTATATTTGACTAAAAAGGTCGTTAATTCGAATCTTCGTCCCTACGTATTTTATTCAAACAATTTGTACTTTGATATAATATGATACAATAGAATCAAAATAGACGTTTTAAAAGTACAATAACTAAATGAACAAATACCAAAATTAAAAATACATTGACCAAAATGAACCTTTTAAGGTCAAATCAAAATAGTTTTTAAACCTACCATTAAAAAGAGGCATGAGTTCCAACTTGAATTAGCTCCACCGTAATTAACACCTGTCTATGATCAAGAGGTCATGAGTTTGAATCTCCCTCCACTTGTTGTACTAAAAAATTACACTGCATAATATATTTTATACTATTTTTTTTTGTCTATTCATCTTTCCCTTTTCTATCTAGACTTAGAAAGTAGGGCAAGAAAAAAAGTGGGAAGAAAGACAAAGTACCTGAAATTGACTTTGCTTCACCAAAAGGTCTCATCTCTAGAAGGCGACTGGAGGTTCGACTTAAAAATATTAGGTGAAGTGTCTAACTCTATTGGTCATAGTTTGTAGCTGAGACTAAGTGAGAAGTACCTACTCATAGATTGGGTTACCCTACCAATCTTATTTTGTATAGCTACTTTATTTTCTTTATTTTGGTTATCTTTCGTCTTTTGCTCATTTATTTTATCAATGTCCGTAAATATTTAAATAGTGGGGTAGACTTAGAGCTTTTTTTTGTTAAAAAAAAAAGACTTGGGGTGTTATAGATTACATCTAATTGAAAATACAGAAAATTAATCAAACTTGATGTAATTTGAAATTTAAAAGTTTTGAGACTTCATGATAAAAAGTTAATGTCTAGTTCAAACATAAATTTTAAAATATTTTCAAAAATTTTTAAACCACTTGCTTTAGTTTTTTTCCCCTTATAAACTACATTAATAATAAAAGAAAAAATGGTTGGTTAGTTTATTTTTATTTGTTTTATAATAATTTTTATGTTTACCTGTCATTATAACATTAATTTCATATTGTTTATTATTTATGTTCTTATAAAATGGAATAATTTAAATATAAAGTTATAAGTTTAGTTCATGAACATTCAAGATTGTGTTTAATAAGTTCATAAATTTTAGAAGTATCTGGTAGCTCCGTGAACTTCAATTTTTATTTTTTTTTTAATAGGTCACAAGACATATTTTAAAATCCATAAACTTATTAAAAACGAAATTGAAAGGTCATGATTCTATTTAGACCCAAGATAGAATTTTAGAAATCTATTAAATATTTTTAAAGTTTAGGGATTTACTACACACAAAATATTGAAAGTTAAACCATCTATTAGTAACTTTTTTAAGTTAAACTATTAGATCACCCCTCTAAAAGTTAAGAAACTAATCTTGTAATTTAACAAAAAAAAAAATATTAAGTAGCGGATTATAAAATTAAACACTCAAGCCAAATATAGAGAGAAAAAATTGTTAGATTAAAATTTAGCTTAAACTTTTAGAATGGTGTCTAATAAGTTTTATATCTAAAAATAAAACTGTAATAGATCCCTAAAATTTTAATATTGTGTCTATTTGATCTTATACTTTAAAATTTTATGATAACTTTTAGCTTTATATTTAATAGCTCCCTACGTTAGCTACGTCATTTAATGTCGAGTAGCTTTTAATTTTAGCATTTATATATTGCGTTGGATATATTATTTATTAAACACAAAATCAAACATTTGAGAATCTATTATAAACTTTTTGAAATTCGAAGAGACAAATTTATTAAAAACTTTTAAGAATGCAACAACTTGTTAGACGTAACTTTGAAAAAATTGGAGGATCAAACTTCTAACTAAAATATCAAAAACGAGGAGAAAAAAGAACATATCACGCCCATCACGTCTCCTCTGGAAATTGGTACTATCTTCACACTTTTTAAGTGGATCCGAAATAACTCGGAATATAAACTTAGTCTAGGGAAATTTTGAATTTAAACCCCAGACTTAAATGACTATGCTGAGTAAATTTGAATAGAAAATGTTCCATTTAAATTCATCCTTACGTGCCAACTCGTACTTGAGCGTAGTTCAACTGATTAATACATGTATCGCCAAAAAATAAGGTTTTCTCACTCTCTTCCTTTGCATTCACGCTCTCGCTTATCCCTCACTCCATAATGCTCTCGCTCACCTCCCTCGCTCACGCTTTTCTCTCCCTCGAGAAGCAAGGGAGGAGAAGAGCATAAATCTAAGAACGAGATCTACAAGATATTCGATAGTTTCAAAATTTAAAAAATGCAATCTGATAAACAAAAATCTTCTCTTGTTTCTCAAGCGAAGTGTGATAGAGATTCTTCAGTGTTTTCTTAAATAGTTGTTCGACGAGAAATTCAATAAGAGAAAACTCGAATTTATGAACTTCTATTTGTATTTATGTATGTAAGTGTTACAATTTCTAATGTATAATCCGATTAATTCTCTCAAATGTAAACTTTAATTCAGGGGCTCGTGAGTTTGTTCTTAAATAAATGGTTGATGCCTTAACTTCTTACTTGACGAAGGATCTTTGAAGTCTTCGGCTTTGAGCTTGTTGAACACTTTGACTTCATAAAATTATGTGGCTTGTAGCTTGACGAAGGTTTTGTGAAGTCTTCAGTTTTGAGCTTATTGAAGAATCTTTGAAGTCTTCGGCTTTGCGCTCGTGAAGTTCTTCGGTTTTGCAGCTTGTGAAGTGCTTCGGCTTTGCAGCCGGCAATGAACTCTTCAAGTAATGTTGCTTGGGGAGAGAAGATTCAATTTTCTCGAAGTCTGGAACTCTTTTGACTCTGAATGATTTTCTGAGTGCTTCTTCTAGATATCTTCCAATCCTTCTTCTCCTCCCTTCAAATGAGGGGCCACCCCTCTATTTATAGAGTTGGTGGGTCTTTATGGGTCATGGGCTTACTTAGGCCCAATCTCTTCATGGATTTTATCAAATTAGTTGATTTCATCGAACGGTCATAAGAGAGACACATAACGCAATTTGATTCGTCGATTTAAAAATTAATTTAAGACACGTGTAAATTTGTCATTCGTCTAATATAATTTTAATTTTGTGACGTGACCTTTAGTAATTAGCCGAAATTTCTCATTCATCAATAGTCTCCCCCCTTTTCTTGTTTCGTTCAGCAGAAGGTGCAGGTTTATGCTAATGCCTAGCGTGACATAAGACACTTTTTGCAAGAATTTGTTACTCTAATAGTGTTGACTGCTTTTAAATGATTTCACGAGAGTATTTATTTGCTCGATTTTGTGGCTAGATTCCGATGAACGGGTTTGGTCATTTCTTTGACATGATTTTGATCTTAAACCATACCTATCCATCCTAGTATCAAATTCAAAAAACAAGTGGTCCAACTCCGACATGAACCAAAATCCTAAACCACACGATATAGAGTCTATATCTAACTAGATTCGAATTTGAAAACAGGTCGTCTAAGCCAAATTTTCTTAAATACAGTGTAAAAATTTTACAATAAAGGTCAAACTAATAACTATGAGAG